AAAAAAAAAAAAAAAAAACCAAAAACCAAAAACAAAACCAGCATCATGAATTCTATGTGACCATCACAGATTAAAGCTAAATATCAATATAAGAGAAAACAGAAAGGTTACAAACTCATGGAAATGGAACGACTCTCCACTCAAAGAAAAATGGACCAAGATAGAAATTAAGGCCTTTTTAGGATTGAATGGAAATGAATACATAACATGTGCAAACATATAGGACACAATAAAGAATATTCGAAGAGGCAAGTATATAACACTAAGTGCCTCTGTAAAAAAAAAGTTGGAGAGAAATCATACTAGCAATTTGACAGCACACCATAAAGCTCTAGAACAAAAAGAAGAAATCATACCTAAGAAAAGTAGACAGCAAGAAATAATAAATCTGAGGGCTGAAATCAGTTAAATAAAAACAAAGTAACAAAATAAAGAATCAATAAAACAAAAAGTTCTTTGGAAAAATCAGTAAGTTTGACAAGCCCTTATTTAAATTAGCTGAAAGAAATGAAGAGGGGGGACATAACAACAGACACTGGGGAATCCAGGGAATCAGAGGAACATACTTTAAAAATATGCACTCCATCAAATTGGAAAATCTAAAAGAAATGGATAATATTCTCGATACATACCACCTACCAAAGTTAAATCAAGATCAGATAAGCAATTTAAATAGATTTGTAACCCCTAGTGAAATAGAAGCAGACATTAGAAGTCTCCTAACCATTAAAAGCCCAGGGGCTGTTGGTTTTAGCACAGAATTCTATGAGACTTCCAAAGAAGAATTACTGTCAATACTCCAAACTATTCCACAAAAGAGAAACAGAGGGAAGATTGTCCAATTCATTTTATGAGACCATAGTTACCAATACCTAAATAACACAAAGACTCAACAAAGAAAGAGAATTACAAATCAATTCCCCTATGAACCTTGATGCAAAAATACTCAATAAAATCATTACAGACTGTGTTAAGAACACGTCATAAAGATCATCTACCATAATTCAGTAGGCTTCATTGCAGAAATGCAGGGATGATTCAATATATGTAAATCCATAAATATAATCCACCATATAAACAAACTGAAAAACAAAACCACATAATCATTTCATTAGATGCAGAAAAGGCTTTTGACAAAATCCAATAGCCCTTCATGATAAAAATTCTCAGGAGATTAAGGATACAAGGAACATACCAGAGACTAGATAATCCAGAGACCTTGGGTAAAACCAAATAATATTTCTCTTTAAAAAAATGTAGTGATAAAATGACTCCTAATGATGTTCTGCTATACTCATAGGTCACTGCTGTATTTAGCCATCAGCAAAGAAGCTTCCTCCTGCAGCAGATGGGAAAAAGTATAGAAACCCATAGCTAGACAGTATGGAGAGAGAGCGAGAGCGAGAGAGAAAGACAGAGAGACAGAGAGAGGGTCTAAATTTGGTGTCTCCTCCATTTAGGAAAACATCCAGAAGATGAGGTTGAAAGAGTGCAAGAGCCAGAGGGGATGATGGACACCAAGAAAACAAGGCCCTCTACATCAATATGAACTCACAAAAACTGAAGCAGCATGCACAGGTCTGCACCAGATACTCAGCATATATATTTTGGCTCCCAATTTAGTGTTTTTATGATATTCCTAAATGTGTGAACGAGTAGGTCTCTGATTCTTGGCCCTTCTTTTGGATTCCTTTCCTTCTATTGGTTTGTTCTGTCTAAATTTGATGGGAAAGTTTTTGTTTTTTCTTATATTTTATATTGTTATATATTTTGACTAGTGAATGAAAACCTAGACACTAGAGTAAAGTGTATATTTATACTTGCTGGGAGAGCAAAAATTAGTTTTTTCCAATGGAGTGACACTGGATCTATCATCCACTCCAGGGCAGGCCTCATATTCAGGAGTAGCTGACCAACATACAATGGACTTCACAGCTTTTTTGTGTGCTTTTATTTGGTTACAGATTTTTCTTTCTTTTCGAATGTTGTTTTGTTTTGTTTTCTTGGGTTGGGGGGATTGTTGTATTGGGTTTTTGTTTGTTTGTTTTGAGAAGGAACTTAAAGTTGGGTGGGTAGGGAGAGGAAGAAGATACGGAAGACTTGGGGAAGGGGAAGAAAATGATCACAATACATTCAAATTTAAATTTTTAAAATAATAAAATAGAAAAAACCTGATATGGGAATTTTTTCTCCAACTGTTCTTTAAAAATAGAATATTAACATTTGAACTTTGTTGTTCTTAGGTTCAATTCCTGACAGGAGAGCTTTTCATGATTCCCAATGAATTGTGTTAAAACTCCAGGAAGGCAACAAAGAAGCCTTTTGGGGACGCTGTTTTCTGTCAGATCAGAGGGTTTTCCTAGGAGTGGAGTGGACAGGGCGGCGGGTTGACAGAGACACGTTACTGGGGCTGTGTGCTGCCTGCCCTTCAGCTTCCTGGGAGACACTGCCTCTGGGCAGACTCTGGGAGGCAGACCAGGCTGGCAGGCACCAAGGCTGCAGCATCCTCCAGCAGGCGGTGGTATTCTGCCCTGACCTTCCCAGGAAACACAGATCTTTTCTGGGACCAGCCAGGTAAGATAAAGATTGCTGCTGGTAGTCCTATTATCTAGCAGAAACGTGCCTCTGTAGAATTCTGTGGGGTGACCTGAGTGTGTTCTGGTGCTCTAAAACGGGGCGTAGGGTAAATGTACACGTTCTTAGGAGTTAGAGGCTTCTGCGCGGTACTTTGATGTATTCAGTGGGCTGGAATCAGATTTCCACAGGTGGAGGGAAGAGCTTGGGAACCTGCAGCCACCTCCAACACTGGACCTCACGTCTCCCTAAAGCCACACCTCCAAGAATCTAACCTGTGTTTTTAATTCTGCTTCCAGCCTGGGACTCCCGGCGACAGTGGCTGAGTAGCTTGCGGGAACGCCCCTCCGGTGCACGCACAGCCAGAGAAAGGTTCAGAGACTTTGGCAGTGCCCGGGTGCAGATCCCTGTCAACGCAGACTTACAGACTCGGGTCCCGCGGGGCTGCTGAGTGAATTGGGGTAGCCGCCGGCTCTCCTGCAGTGGCCAAGATGTATAACTTGTCGCTCTCCGAGCCTGGCGGGGACAATGTGTCCTGCGGCGGCTTGACTCTGGGCTGTCCCAACGGGTCGAGCCCCGCGCCTCTGCCGCTGCCGCAGCCACTGGCCGTAGCAGTACCTGTCGTCTACGCGGTAATCTGCGCGGTGGGACTGGCGGGCAACTCAGCGGTGTTGTACGTGCTGCTGCGCGCGCCGCGCATGAAGACTGTCACCAACGTGTTCATCCTCAACCTGGCTATCGCCGACGAGCTCTTCACCCTCGTGCTGCCCATCAACATCGCCGACTTCCTGCTGAGGCGCTGGCCCTTCGGGGAGGTCATGTGCAAGCTCATCGTGGCCGTCGACCAGTACAACACCTTCTCTAGCCTCTACTTCCTCACCGTAATGAGCGCGGACCGCTACCTGGTGGTGCTGGCCACAGCCGAGTCGCGCCGGGTGTCGGGGCGCACTTACGGTGCTGCGCGCGCTGTCAGCCTGGCAGTGTGGGGGCTAGTGACTCTGGTCGTGCTGCCCTTCGCGGTGTTCGCCCGGCTGGACGAGGAACAGGGCCGACGCCAGTGCGTGCTGGTCTTCCCGCAGCCAGAAGCCTTCTGGTGGCGTGCCAGCCGCCTGTACACACTGGTCCTGGGCTTCGCCATCCCGGTCTCCACCATCTGCGCCCTCTATACCACCCTGCTGTGCCGGCTGCGTGCCATCCAGCTAGACAGCCATGCCAAAGCCCTGGACCGAGCCAAGAAGCGTGTGACCTTGTTGGTGGCGGCGATCCTGGCTGTGTGCCTCATCTGCTGGACGCCTTACCACCTGAGCACCATAGTGGCGCTTACCACCGACCTGCCGCAAACGCCCCTGGTCATTGGCATCTCCTACTTCATCACCAGCCTGAGCTATGCCAACAGCTGCCTCAACCCCTTCCTCTATGCCTTCTTGGATGACAGCTTCCGCAGGAGCCTTCGGCAGCTGGTGTCGTGCCGTGCCGCCTGATGCCCTCTGGACCCGAGGCAGCAGTGCCATCTGGGTTCAGGGGAACCCCGTGAGTGCAGTTCCCAAGCAGCAGCCCCGACGTCCTGTCCTGAGGCCCCTTCCTGGCATGCAGAACCGCAGACTCTACTCAGAACTGTGTGATTCCGGATTTGCTCAGCCCCGAGGTGAGGTAGAGGATAGGTTGGGTAAGGACACAGCACTGCTTTCTCCTTACAGCAAAGGGCAGAGCTTGATCCCTGAACTTAGGGTGAGTGACTTAAGCAGTGTTGTTGAAACGTGAGTCTAATTTTCCCGATGTCTTAGGCGCCCCCCCTCCAGCGACTCAGCGCTTGCTGTGTATTTTGCTACTTTGCCTTCCACAACAGATGCCAGTGCTTTTGGTCACGCCGGTAAACAGCCTGTCCTGACCCTTCTTAGGTGCATTCTAACTGCCTGGTAAGGGTTAAGGCCATGCCTCACTGGAGATGTTGAGGGTGGGCGTGGGGGTGGTGAAGGAGGCTGGAGCCTGGCTATGACTGACAAGAATAAAGATAATCACCTACCCAGATTCCCCGACAATCTTTCTTCTTTCCAACCTCTGGTTTCACCCTAAAGACGATCACAGAGGCTGCAAGGGCCAAGAGTTAAGAGAAATCACCAGAGCCAGGTTCCAGCGCCCTCTTGAGGAGCCAGGTATCCAGCGAGTTTCTGAGAGCTGCTTCTGTAGTGGGGTGCACCAGCCAAGAGCTGTTAACAACATATTGGTCCTTTGTGGTTTCTGTAAAGTACTCCAAAACATCCCTCATGGACTTCACCGGTCTCATACGACTTGGACCATTGTAATTGTTTGTGTGTGCAGTTTTTGAGGAGAAAGAACTCTATAAATAATACATGTGTCTTAATCTCATAGGCTACTTAGAGGACTGTAAAAACAAAAAATGCAACTTGTTCCATCCTTGGTTTCACTTCCTGACTGTTCTTCCAGGACCTCCCTTCAGTGACAGCCCCAAGTGGGACCCGCCTCACACCCCAAGCTTTTTCTTGGCTAGACCCTTGCTTACACTCTAACCACAGGGAAGTCCTAAGCTTTGTTCAGTTCTCCGGGCTTGCCTCTGGAAGCCGTGGGAACATGTTTCTGGTTTCCCACGGGGATCAGCTGGTACCTGCTTTTATATCCTTTTTCTCTACCTGTGAAAGACAAACTTGGAGGAGGAGTCTGACCAGTCCTCTGCAGTTCACACCTCAGACACAAGGCCTGGGACAACCAGACCCATCACTCACTGCACTGTCTTAAACGGTGTGTTTAGGATGAATGACAGGAAGGAATGAATGATTTTAAAGTTTGTTTTCTATGGGAAAGCTCTCTTTTATGTGTAACACGAGTGTTACCAGGAGATTTTGTTTACCTAATTTGGCATTCAAGCCACTTTCTCAGTAATTTATATTCAAAACACCCTTCAAAAGTATGCAGAAGGAGGGAGCCCAAGCTCCTCTCTGATTTTGGTGAATGAGAATTGGTTCTTTAGTTCTTAGGGTTGTGGGAAAATGAAGATAATTTTCAAGTATTAGCTGAGAAAGTGAATCTAAGGCTGTGTGTCTTGAGTGCAAATAACAGTAAATTGTTCAAAATAAAGCTTTCCAACAGTCATGCCTTTGAACCATGGCCATCACGGACTCAGAATCGGCCTTTGCTGAGCCTTCAGAGGTGTCTGGAATGTGTTCAAATAGTCTTCAAATTTCTGAGTAGCATTCTACAGATATTTCTTTAAAACTGAATTCTTGTATGAGTGCTCTGTAATTTTTCAAAAATAGTGTTTTATAACTTAGTGACCTTTAGATTGTCCAGGATGATGGTAAATGACATGGAAGTTTGACCACAGATGCCAAGCCATGCCATGTCACTTTAGCTGGAAATTTGGTCTTCATAAACACAGCAACAACACAGATCAGAGGGAGGTCCATGAAGTTTTCTGTCTATTGTATCACCCCTACTGGGGATGGATCTGTGTCTGTCCTGTAGTCTCTGGATGCTGCTGGAAAAAACACAGGTATGAATATTATTTTGTCCCTCACAGCCAGGTATAGACACTGAAAACCTAGTTTTCAGAAAGAGGACTCAGCATCAATGTCACTCTGGCTTTCTAAGTCCCTGATTATCACCTCTAAGGCCACTACTATTTTTGTGAGATTTGGGAGTCCAGACAGTATGTCTTATAGCTACCTTCTATGTCTTAGATAATACATAGAGGAAATAAGCAAACAAGCCAAACAGGAGTAAAATTTATAATTCCATGTTAATTCTTACAGTCTTTGTGTAAACTATGCTGTTTGTCTTTACCCTTCTAACATTTAAAAGTGTAAATTTGGTTTCATTCAATTTAGTGTAATTGTAAAATGTAGGTTTTATGCTTTCTCAAGAAATGCAGAAATTTGCTAATCAACTGCAGATTTCAGTTTAAAATAAAAGCTGAAACATTCTGTGTGACGAGTGTATATTATGTTTCCAAAAAAAGAAAGCAAAACAAAAACCAACCAAGCAACACCACAAAAAACAAAACCAGGAGTCTTAACCCACATAATGGGCTTGCATCCCATGAATAGGAAGTCAAAACTAGTATGGCCTTTTAGAAAGTGGAGAAAAATTACCTGCAACAGGTAAGAAGAGCTTGAGAAATGATGAAAGACCATGTATTCACTGGACAGGGGAGTATAGGGAATTTATCTGGAAAGCCTGTACCTATGGGAAAGTACTTCAGGGACAAGCATATCCAAGCATGCTCAGTTAGGTGGATGCTACTGAGCATGTTCAGTTGAAGGTTATAATTCAAGAGGGAAAATGGTGGCAAGAGCACATCTGGGTACATTCAGCTTGCATAGCAAATATTTGATGGACAATATTTCTGGGAGTGCTCAGTTTGCATTATGTGTGGTGGGTGGTCGACCTCACAGTTGTTCTGCAGTTCTGGGCCATAACTAGTGCACAAGGGGTATTCCCAGAAATCTCCTTTCCAAGTAGGTTTTAGCTATGGCCAAAGACATGGATTCATTGAAGGTGAGTTAACGTGGGAACCACAACCTCACTTAATTGCTAGCCACTTAACTTGCTAAGTTTAGAAAATATTGCCTCTATGGAAAAATCATAAAAAGAAACAAAGAAAAAATTTGATGAGAAATAAAGATCTAAATTCCCATATATACCCTTTAATTTGATTCTTATAAAAATGATACAAAGCTTGGTCAAGGATTCTAGTGCTTACTTTGGCCATAGAAAGGATAATAAGCTTTTACCATACAACTATAAACTTCCTTTCTCGAAAATTTGAACAACCATGGGGGAGGTGAGAAGGAAAGGATTGCCAAGTTACTAGCACACATATGCCATTCCATTAGCAGTGTACACATTCACAGCTCAAATGTGTACATGGCAGAGAACCTTACTAAAACTCCTCCTTTCTCTAGCAACATGCCTTAAGGAGCCTTAATCTACTATGGAAGGTGATATAGACTGAAGGCCAAGTGTTCCCCATAGGCTCCTGGGTTTGAATTCTTGGCCATTAGTTGGTGGTAATGTTTTGGGAAGTAATGGAAACCTTTGAGATAAGGATTCTGGATGGCAGAAATGGGTCTTTGAGTAACACCATGTTATTAGCCTGCTTCTGGTACTGTTCTCTGCTTCCTGCCTGCTGTGATGTAAGAAGCCACCTTGTCCTTCCACCACTAGGAACTGACTGAACCACTTCTACCACCATGCCATCCTGATCTTGATGGCTAAAACTCTTTGAAACAATAAGTCAAAATAAAAGCTTCCTTCTTTAAATGGCATTGGTTAGGCATTACATACGGTGACAAGAAAGTACCTAGTCTTATTCTGTTTTGGAAAAGAGATTAAGTTGCAATGTAATTTGCTTTAGTAATATTAAATATTGAGCTATAGAAAAATTATGTATTTGAATTATTTCATAGACCAAGAAAGGCCTACCTATTATTTCATCACAGAGGATAATAGCTGTGGCAGGCTACTGACCTGCAGCTATGCCATCTCATGAAAGTATTCCTAAAAATACTCCAAGTCTAAAACAATCTTGTGTAGAACTGGTCTCTGGAACAGCCCTAAATTCCTATACAGTGTGACCTTGAGCTAAAGGTTAACTGCCTGATCCTTTAACTGTTATCTCTCCACTTCTGTAAACATTTGCTTTCTGTGTACATAACAATTGCAGTTTTTGCTCTTAAAAACTCAAACCAACTGGAGGTTGGGGCTGCTTCCTGCTTATCTGCCTGGAACAGCCCCACTGTCAGTAAATAAAGACTCCATTCATCTTGTTCAGGCCTCTCAGGAGTTCTTTTCTTCTGGTACCTTATAACAATAACAGCAACAACAACAATACTAGTAACAATAAAGTTTAATAATCAAACTTCAGTGCTTGGGTGTTGTACTGTGATAGAGTGCTTACTTAGGATTCAGGAGACCCTGATTTTGATCCCAAATAGAGGGAGGAGTGAGAGAGAATATAAATAAAATGACAGTCCTAACTCAGCTTTGCAAAACATATGGAGTTGTTTATATACAAAAATAAAAGTACACTACCCAGAACAAACCCCTTGGTCAACTGCAAAGTCACTTCACACTGAAGCCTCCAGGCACCATGCCTATGGAGGTATGCTCCATTAGTGCTCTATAAATAGAATGTTGAGCTGCTCTGTTTCATGTGGAATACAGTTAGCAACACATGATACTCTCCTTGGATGTCTGTTTATACCATATCTCATGAGGTTACCTGGCAACATCACATCAATTAGAAGGACAATAGCAAAAGACGAGCAAAGAGAAGAAAATACAAAATGATGTATTCCAGGAACTATCAGAATGGATAAAGTGTGTTCATGCACAATGCAGAGCAGTCTTCTTTTTGTGACAGATACTGCCCTGCAGCAAGAACACGTCACACTCCCCAGAGTGTTCTTGTGTACCATTTTGTGAAATCCAGATCTAACAGAGAGAGTGTCTTTATGGTGCGTGCCTTTATTGGAGACCCGAAGAATAGACTCAATGACTACAGTGACCAGCCAGCTGCATACCGCAGGGAGACAGGTGGCTCTCTATATTCAGTTGTGTACATTCAATAAAGTGAGAGAGATTGCCAGTGCTCCCAAGAACAAGGGGCTTATAATTTATATACACCAAGTAATTAGAACAAAACTCCACATGCTTCATCTATCTGACCAAGAAGCTTATTTCAGGCAGCAAGGCCTTTGTCTGCCAGAAGAGAAAAGCCCAGCCATGTTCAGGCTAAGTGGCAAGGATGAAGCAACCAAACTGGAAGGAATGAAAATGTTTACACCTCGAGAGTGTAATCCCATTGAGGGAGTCTATGCGCTTGTTCATCAGAGTGCTTTGGTTGTAGTAACTCTGCTCTCCTGTTAAAAACTCCATCCATACCCATTTTTCAACCTGTTCTCTTTGCAAAGACATACTGGTTAAAGTCACTGGTCAAAAGGGAGGTATATATATATATATATATATATATATATATATATATATATATATAATTTCCCTTTTTAAAAAAGTGTAATTTACATTTATTATTACAGTTAGTTGTTATGGTTAGGTTATTCCATCCACAGAACCAGAAAAATAAATAAATGCAAAAACATTTCAAATATGCTAAAGTGAGACTTCTTGAATCTTTTTTGTTTGCATTTGAAATGAAGATTGCATCTAGGTGATTTTAAATCTTTCAGAAAAAGCCCCAAAACAATAGGCCATGGGCTTGTGAGATGGCTCAGTAGATACAGTTGGTGGCCATTCAAGCCGGGCAATATGAATTTGATTCCAGAAACCCATGTAAAGATGGAAGAAGAGAACTGCCTCTAGAGTTGTCCTCTGCCACATTCAAGCCATGATTTCTTCTCATATAACCATGATGTAAAGAGAGAGAGAGAGAGAGAGAGAGAGAGAGAGAGAGAGAGAGAGAGAGAGAAGAAAGGAA